TAGCGATGCCCTTTGTTCCGTTCGTAGCTTCTTGCTGCTAGTAGTAAGGCCAAGAGCCCCTAGTAGCATCCTTGCTCCTAGTAGCGATGCCCTTTGTTCCGTTCGTAGCTTCTTGTTAATTTAATTTGATTCTAATTTGATTTAATTCTGATTTGTTACTACTAGTAAGGCCCTTTGTTACTAGCGATGCCCTTGTTACTAGTAGCGAACCTTGCTCCTAGTTCATTCAGCAACCTTCGAAGCTTCGAGTTCGAGGTCTGGTCTTGTGCTGAGTGGCTCGTGCATCATCAGCGGCATCGGTGGCACGGTTCTCGGCTCCAAAGTGGCCGACTCCGCTGCACGAAGGTACCGGCGCGGTTTTTGGTTTCAACCGAATCATTAGCGTGAGCATGCGTGAGCTATCCTGCGTCCTGTCGTATAGCTCTAGTGACTCCCGGTTGCTTCTATAGACTATAGCTACCTCCTACCAACTACCCATCTCTACTAGCTGCCGGAAGTACATTTGTTTTGGATTCGAACTGCCAGGATTGGGAGCGGTGCGTATTTCTTGGTGCCCGCAGCCTTTATGGCCCGACGGCTCAGAGGGAGTCAGATCCGGTAGTCGGTACCGACTCGGTCGGGTCGGGCATCGTTTTGGCCGTGGGGACCAGATAGCAGAACTGCCACACTGGCAGATGGTTTCTCGCTTTGGGGAATACTTTGGTGGCCATATGTGGCCAAAGCGATTAGTGGTCAGTTGTGCATGTTTTCATTTAGTTTTCACTTGGAATTGTTTGTCAGTCCATTGGCTCTAGACAGGTACCTGCTACGGCCCTGGTGGCTTTGTCCGTGAACCTGAAAGAGAAGCTGCCCTTGATCATTGCGTTGGTCCTGGGAGAGACTTGTTTCTTCTCCTACCAGGCGAGAAGGTGTGACAAAGTGTCTGTCTCTGGTTGCAATTCGTGTTTTGGACTGCATTCAGGACGCCGAGAAAGTAGTACATAGTATGTCTAGCCGTATTGGCCCCTTTTTTGTTTTTCAGGCTCCCATCACTGCCCTTTCCATGTCCTGCACTGAGACAGGGGACGCCGCACGGTCGCCATTTTCCAAAGAAAATGAAGGGGCAAAAGGCAAAGACCGTGCGTTCTTGCTCCTAGTAGCGATGCCAGGAGCCCCTAGTAGCGTCCTTGCTCCAGTGTTCAAAAGCGAGTTGGACAAATTCACTGAGGTCAGTGATTCCAGTGCACACGCGTGCCCGGGGATCCTCACTGCAGATCTTGTTGTGCCACGTCTTGGGCGATGTGATCAGTTGGCATCCGAGATGAAACACAAAACCGAACGCAACACCGAACGCGTGTTTTTTTGTGTTATAGATAAAGAAACAGTAAAAGAAGTGTTTCCGCTACGGCTCCAGGTCCACCCATCATCGGGAAGATCTCAGTGTCCAGCAGCTTGCGCGTGGCTCTGCCGGGGCCTATGGGCGCAGCTGAGTTCCGTCTTTGTTTCATCGCTACTAGGCAATGCACTTGTTCCTAATAGCAAACATTGTTACTACTAGTAAGGCACCTGTTACTACTAGCGTGGCACTTGTTACTACTAGCAAGGCATCGCTAACTAGGGGCTCAAGGATGCTAGCAAAGGGCATCGCTACGTTCGGAACGTGTCGAAGGAGCGAGTTCCACGTCTCGAAAAACAAAACTCTTTTAAACAGACTTTTATATCTCTTCATTCTCTTTCAACTCTTTTTTTCAACTATATCTCTTCATCTCGGTATCTCGTTCTCTCTTTTAGGCAACTGCCGTGGGTGGCGGTGCTGATCGCGGGTCTGACCTGGGGTGCGGGATATTTCTGTTTGGCACCTCCACCGATGGAGATCAAGCCAAAGGCCAATGATCAAGGAACGCTTTGCGTCCTTTTACACCGAGGGATTTCCTGTCTCGATCATTTCTGCGATGACTCAGACCACTCAGATGAACAAAAGGATGCCGAATGAGGAAGGACGGCTTCTTTAGATTTCTTTAATGCAGAATTATGTATGCTTGACGAACATATTGGTTCATCATGTTTGATATATACTTCTTGTTTAAAACGTTTGTTCAAGCGAGACCCATCATGTTTTTTTGCATAATTCTTTGACCCGATCAAATGCTGTTTGTCTCACAGAGCTCGAGAACAGCTGTGGTCTTGAGAATTCTGTAACTTGTCTTTTGACAAGATTGCCCCAGAACCATGTTCTGGAAATCGCAAGTGCAAAAAGGTGGAGAGTCGAAGATGAAAGAATGTCGCAAACGAGACGGAAAGAAGATGAAAGAAGGGAAGTGAGAAAAGGAATGCTTTTTGTTCCAAAAATCGGTGCGAGCACTTCTTCTCCGCTCCTTTCGGCTCCCTCAGTGGCGGAGACGGTTGCCGAGGCCGAGTTGCGAAGGCGGGGAAAGCAAAAGCGAATCGGAAAAAGACAAGAGATGAAAGATGATGAAAGAGAGCGAATCAACGAAGTGCCCCCTCGAAAATGGAAAGCGTCTTTTGGTGAGCACGTAGATCGCAAAAGCCAACCCACAGATACCCATCCGTTGAAAGTTGCCATTTCAAAACACTTGGGGACACAAAGTTAGTCCGACGACATGTCGCCACTTAGCGGTTGGTGTGGCAACGCTTCGATGCGCAAGAATCACCAGCGGTGCACAGCGAAGCCGCACTTGCGAACGTACTGCCCACTCCAGCAGCGCAAATGTATCCGCATCATTCCACTTGGTGCAACTTGAACACAGCAAGCCTGCTGTAGAGCTTGTCCGCTTCGCCAATGTTCGCGGATCGGTTTGGGTAGGCCAAGAAACCACGAATACAAAGTGAATGCGCAACTTCGATATTCGAGTTGTTTTCGGAATAGTTAGCAAAAATCAGTTCCTTTTCGGTTCGAAGTTCGGGTTCTTCGTTTCAGATGGAGACGACAGCGGACTCACGGGAGCTTGTGACGATTGTCGTGCCTCGGAGTAGACGAGAGGACGGACAACTCCAGGACGGTTGTCAGTCCCGTCAGTGTCCGTCCGACTGCAGTTTCTGTTTTAGCCCGAAGTGCTAGCAAAGCGGCTTAAGTAAGCTACTAGCGAGGAGCAGACCAGGGTGTCAAAAATAGTTTTTGCATAGGTGTGTGTACATTGATTTGGGCAAAGTTAATCAAAACCATTCAAAGTAATGACTTGAAATGTAATCAGCCGATACGTACAAAAGCAATGAAATCGCTTTAACATTACTGAATATTAATTGCGATTGGTTCGTCTCTGTTCCCCATTTGCTAATCAAAATTGAACCAACCGCAGTGAAACACAGCAAACATCCTATTAGTGATCCCGGTGTAGCACGGGGCATTGATCAAGGACAGGGTGAGTGTGAACTTCCTTGGTTGGTGGTGAGTGCCTCAAGAGCAAGCGCTCTGGAGCATCGCTGGCTGAGGAGGTGGAATTCACAAGCTTTCACTTGTTTCATCTCCTTCGTGAGGAAAGCGGAGCGGTCACAAGATCACTTGCCCTACTCACACAACTATCCAGGGTGCAGATCGCAGAAGGTAAAGCAATTTTAGAACAGTTGCCAATCTATGAGTCCATTGTGACAGAATGATGAAAGGATTTCAGGCAATACCTACGTAGACGATGCAAAGGTTGCCTGAATCCTCCAAGCAGTCCGAACCCATCTAAGGGTACATCTTCAGTTATGGATCACGGACTTGACGACCTATGAGAAGTTGAAGAACAAGGTGATGGAGCTGGAGGCTTTGGCAACTTCTTGAACTTGCCCATGCGGATAAGCATGGATGAGGGGACTGTGCCCGGACCAACAAGACTGGCAAGAAAGGTGGAAAGAGCAAGTCAAAGGATAGCAAAGGCAAGGCAAATGGCAAAGAGAGGGGAAAGACAAAGTCAGAAGGAAAAGGCTCATGGAAGTCACAATGCAAAGAGCTTGTGGGAGAAAGGTATAGAGGTTTTTAAACAAAGGCAAGAGCCAAGACAAGGGCAAGAAACTGATCGCCCTCTGTGGGCCACCTGTACCCGAAGCAGCTTGAGCAGGAGCGCCGGGCTGGCACGGATGGCCGAATGCTTTAGGCGTCGTGGCCTACAGTGATCCAGTGGTCATGAGATGGACTTGAGGCAGATCGAAGAGACCCGGACGTCACTTTTGAAGCGGACACAGGTGGAGAACGTGTTCCCACCCTTTTTCTTTTCAGTTTCTCTCCTTGCTTTAGGCACCGAATTTTCTCGGCCTGTATGCTGCAGGCTCAAGCTGCCTGCTTCACTTGCGACGTTCCAACCTTTTCTCAGGAGCTTGCCTGCAGGATCGGACGCTTCACGTTTCCGGCGCAAGCTCCTCCACCATTTCAACCTTCTTCCCACTTGCATCGATGCCATCATGAGCAATGTGGTTGCCCTGTGCGTCCACCATCCTCAAACTCTGAGCCTGCCATAGGATTGGGGGGCAGGACTGACGTGTATCCCCGCTGAAGAGTAAATCATCCCGCAGAGCCATGGCCGCAACGCTACACTTGCCGGGGATGTCCATCGCAGGCTCAACGCAATACACGAACTCCTCGCTCCTTGAAGGCGCTCACTTCCATGCACAGTCCTCTGCCTTAATCATACCCGCGCGCCATACGTGACAGCAGAAGAAGAAAGAAGAAGAAGAAGAAGAAGAAGAAGAAGATCTAGAGATGCAGATGGACGCCAAAGACAGGATGAGGTGGAGCTGAACGAGACGACCTACACGTCTGTGAATGCGTTCAAGGTCAACTTGGAGAACAAGATGAAGCTGTCGATTGCAAGCAAGCTGTGTGAGGAGAAACAAAGGAAACCTACTATACGCTAGGCCAGCCAAGGTTGCCATCATCGCTCAAGGAGCCGGAAACAAACTTCGTGACACGCCGCATGGTGCAAAGGGAGACAAGCAAGCGTGAGATGCGTGAGGAGAAGCCGGACATGGGAAAGAATGTGATCCAGATGGACTTCTTCTGCGCCTACAGCGGATAGGAGAAGAGGATGACGAGGCACGTGGATGGTGACGGAGTATTGGGTGAGACAAAGGCAGTGCGTGGTCTTGAAGGAAGGGTCAGTAAGCCTGAAGACAGTGACTGGAGGTGGTAAGATTCTCCCTTCCATCGTGTAAGATTTCCAGGAGGCTGCGTGGTACGCAGAAATGTTTGTATTTCACCTTTCTGTTGGGAAGGAAGCATGCTGCCCAGCGGCGCTTTCTCATCGTATGGTTTATATTTTTCGCACAGCAAGGGATCAAAGGAAAAGCTGCGCACCATACTCATGGCTGATTGGCCATACAGTTGAACATCTGGCAAGTAACACCCTGCTCATCATGCCCCAAAGGACCAGGAATCATACCTCCGGCGGACTGCGGCTGCTATTTTCATGCTTCGTAAAGAATGTGTCCCTCAAGGGTGTCGCGCGAGTGTGTCCCACAAGAGCTTTCATCCCACAAGAGTGTCTCCTACAAGAGGTGTCCTCAAGAGTATCCTGCTATTTGGTGAATGTGGATTCTTTGTGCAATCAATGAGCGCAAAAAGATTTTCAGGTGGAGGCAAGAGGGTTCTTCGTTTAGTTTCATGCGCCTCCAACCTTGCAACGCTTGGCCACAAAGAACAACTTCTTGTTAACACTGGGCCCAGAAATGCATTCCAGGGTGACACAAACCACTGAAAAAGGGACAACAGGACAGCGATGATCTGTGCTATGGGCCTTGAGCATCTTTTGGAAGGTCTACTTGAATGGTTTGGGCACAGTGTGGGAACGCAAGCCCACAACTGGATGTTTGCCTTGGGGGCCTATGAAAAGAACGCAGTGGAGATGCAGAATGAGATCTACAGCTTGGAGCTCTATTTTCAGGACCTGGAGGGAGAGGGCAAGGATGCCCGCGAAGAGCTGAATCATTTACTCCAAGAGCTGAGGTTGCTGAAGTGTATCCCAAAATCCGAAGGTGATCCGTTTTGACCAGACGTGTCGAATTTTGCAAGGGCATCGCTTTTGTATACTGTGACATGTGCCTTGGTGGAGGGGCCGTGACCAGCACTTAGGATACGCTTTCAACCGCCTCACTTGAGGCCCAAGCTTTGTGTGAAAAGACGCGCGCTTTGCTTCGCATTAATCTACACGCCATCACCTGACAAGCCAAGCGGAGAGGTACCATTGATTTTCGACAAAATATTCAAAAGGTAAACGCCCATCAATTTGGATCAATGCAACCGACACAGCTAGTATTAGCACTGCCTCGCTGGACTGCTCTTCTGCGTGTTGCTCCTATTTGCCTGACATCACTTCACCCTCACTGTCTCTGTTTTATTTGTGTTCATTGGGCTCTAGCGCCCTGTCCCTTGCCAATCCTCATGACGCAGACGGAGGACGGCACATATATTGACGGCGCGCGTAAGCCAGGAAACATTGCATTCAGGCATTCAACGCATTTTCTATATTGTTTTCCGGCTTATGGAATGGAAACATAACTTATACGTATAGCGAACGCAACTTGTTCTTCACCATCCGTTGAACCCACTCTGTTCAAAACCATTGCCCCTTTTGTGAAGGTGGGTGAATACAACGGATTTACCTAATTAATCCAGGAGATTTGCCTTTGCGCGAGAATATGTTTGATGTGCCAAAAATGCTGCAGTTGCTCCTCCGACGTCAGTCTTGTTAGTCGCCTTTTGGCGTTCTAATTCTAGTTCATATTTTTACATTTGATTTATGGCAAAGATGTTCAAAAGAGGTAGGGAACATGAGAAGTCAGAGCGGTGAGATGTGTTTTTCTTCATTCCAGCGCCGGAATAACTCAAATGTTCAGCAAATATTACAGCATTGTTTGAAGCGTTAGATGGATTTAATATTTGATGTGGTCTTCAAACTCGTGTGTTTGGACTTAAGACTATTGCTGCAACAAAGTGAGAGTGCGCTCTATTGGCATAAGTCATGTACTGTCCGTGATTCGAGGTCGCCCAGTTGACCAAGACCAAGATGTGCCTTCAATTCACAAGGAGAAAAATCGTGATGTTTTTCTCTGCGCGACTGTGCCTGACACTTTGTGAAGGGGCAACTGTCGCTCCAACAACTGCCGCTTCGCTCACTCGGTGGAAGAGCTTCGAGCACCTCCGGACCTTGCGAACCACGGAATTTGCCAAGGTGATGTGAGATGTTTATGTTTTTTCCGAAGCAAACACGTTGTTTCCATACTTAGTGTTGGTTTGCGAAACACCGAGCTAACAAATGCAGTCAGTATGAAAACATGTGGTGTCACACCAAGGAAGACGGCGATGTGTCGCGCCTTTGCTCGCACCTTGACCTGAAACAGAAGGTGGAGAAACCGTTTGGATTCAACGTATTCATGTGAGTGCAATTCACTCGGACCTTTTCTCTTGAGCCAAACGCAGCCAAAGTTAATGGCAGTTTTGTTGAGGGGTCTTCAAGAGTGCTTGGTACACTTCTCGATTTGTGCGACCAGTGATCGCTGACTCGCAGGATTAAAGGAAACATTTGGTTTAAACACTCGCTGGTTTTGCCAGACTTGAAATGACGCCTTCTCAAGTTTTGGGCTTGGTTTGAGACCAGGGTTATTCTGAAATCTTTTCTGTTATGCTTGCATTTCAGGTGGAGCATGCAGAGCAACAAATTGCAAGTTTGCTCATGCCGAAGAAGAGCTTCGCGTGAGTCCTACTGTTTACAAGACACAGTCGGGAGCGCCAGTATGGAAGGGACAGCGGAAGCCGGACAGGAAAGAGCGAGTACATAGAAGCCACATGTGCACTCGGCAGAGAGAAGAAACTGACGCAAGATGATGTGAGCTTGAGATTGCCTCTTTCACCATGCTTTCATGTCGTGGCCGAGAAAGTCTTGAAATGGAAAATCCAAAGCTGAGGCTTTGCCATTTCTTCGCTCGTGGCCATTGCAAGAAAGGCGAAGAAATCGATGTATACCTGGGAAATTTGTTTTGTGCACTTGATTTTGGAGGAGATTTCCGTGTACTCTACAGAAATCTGTGCACTTGAACACAAAATTGTGCATCTCTGTGAGCATGGTCCTGTCTTGAAACACACAAGAAGGCCCCGCTTGTCACTTGCGCCGGAGCCTGCGCTTCCAGCTCAACTTCCGAATCTCCCATTTCATTTTGATATGGATCCGGTCTAGCACTCTGTGGCTTGCAGTTCTTGAACTCACTCTCTGACATATCCTGCTAACATGTCCCACCACAGATTCATAAGCTTCATATCTGTAGGGTAGTGGACAGGGAAAGATGTGTGTGTTGGGTGGGAAAGACGTGTATAGGACGGGAAAAGACGTGTATTTGACGGGAATTTCCGGGTAGAACAAATTTGTCACGCGGGACTTTCTTCAACAAATGGAGCCCTGCCGGCTTGACAAACTCCAAATCATTCCAAATCTCTTGAGGGAGCAGCGGATGCCATTCCTTTGGGATGGGCACACCCTTCGACCCACAAAGGAATCTCAATACTTCTGACAAAGCTGCATGTTCTCATTTGTCACGGAATGACAGGCTTCGGAAGTGGAAAAATGCTACCCAATACAGCCCAAAGGGCTACAATCAGAAAATGTGCATGTCAAATGACTTTTGTGTTTTTGCCTGAAAGACGTGTAGTGCACAGGAATTTCTGAATGCACAATTACTTTTTATCATTTGAGGTTGCAGGTATTTCTTTTTGACGAGAGGCGCGAGAGGCGCGAGAGGCGCGAGCACGATGCAGGAGACCGCTGTCGACACGCCCATGGGCCCAAAGAGCTGAGGCCCTTTGAGAGTGCGGAGCTCGATTCAGAGACTGAGACTGAGTTTCTGTTAAAGACAGAACAAGAACGCTACGTTCGGTTCAACAAGACCGCATTTTTGCACTTGAGAAACGGCTTCACAGGCTCCCTCCCGACCGTTGGCGGCCCAGCGCAGCGACACCGTGCATCGCTGGTGGGGCGGTGGAAGGAGAAACGGCCAAATATGGAGAAGACAAGAGAAAGATGCAAAATATCAGCAAAACATGTTGCATTCAGATGCCATCGCGTTTCGGATGTGTGTTTACACCTGTAAACGCGCATTCAACCGAGGCCGGCGCGAGGGCAGAATCTTTTCGAGAAGACGGAGGCGAGGGAGAGAGAAGGAATCGAAGACGAGAGAGTTGATAAACATATCTCAATAGCTTTGATAAGGCATATTTCGAGCTTTTATCTACTGCTTCCTAGTGCATACGATTAAACTTTTAGTCGGAACAAGCGTCTTAACTAATTATCTAAAAGGTCAAATAACCTCAAAGTTGCTAGGTTATCTTAAACATGTTTCAGGTCTGGCAGGCTTGGGTGAACATGTATTCATTACTGCCATAGGTTTGAACCAACAAATGTTTTGGCTCAAGCAACTTGGCCAAAATAGCGTTTGCTCTCTTTTTGAGGGCGGAACCCTTGGAGAGACATTTTCTTTTTTGTGCAGGGAGGGACCCTGTTTTCCCATGAGCGATTTGGGAACTAGCCTTGCTGCCTACACCAGGTACCAGGTGATCCATGCCGCCGCGTGGATGGAGTTCAGCGCTCACCTCCAGGAGCTGGTTGCTGGGACGCTTTGCGCCTCTGGGCCTCCGTGGTGGAGTTGGTGCATCTGGGGTCTCCAGGGCAACCCCTCTCCATCGCTGGCCTCCCCCCGGTTCGTCGGTTCGTATGCACTAACATCCCGTGCGCAAGGTGCACCGACCGTCGGGGCGGCTTCCAGTTCCCATGGGTTGGCGTTTGGAACCGCCGCTGCTTGCTGGTTCAAGAGGGACTTGGGCCAGCGGTCGCGTGGCAGCGCTACCATGCCTCTGAGGCGCGCGTCCGACCTTGGCTCGTTGGACATTTTGCCAGTCCACGTTGGTTTGGCCGTGGAGCGGCTGGACGTCGGGGACGATGGCATCGACACCGAAGAGTTCTTCGAGCTGGTCCGGATCTGGCAGCAGGGTCGGCGGCCATGGCGGGAACCATGGTCGTCCCTGGTTGGGACCCCAGGCATTCCTCGCGAAGTCGCGAATGCCGGCCGTGCCCTCCGTGCGATCTTGGGGTCCTACGACATCGAGTACATCCCCCCCTCTGCCTCCTTTGTCGCCTCCCCACGTTCGAGTCTTGTCGAGTCTGCCGATCGATCGTGTGTGAAGGCTGCAACTTCTGGGCAATGCCCGCTTTGCATCGACAGTTCTGGCTCAGACTAGCGCGATAGTCCTTGCAGGCTTCATGGCTGACAGTGGGCGCTATATGCGGCCGAATCGGCGGGGAGCTCCAGGTGGGACCCGGAGACCTCAGCTGAGGTGGCCCAGGCGGCGCGGGTTCGTGAGTTCCGGGAGCAGTACCATCTCCTGGACGACGCGGAGTTTGCCTTTGCGTTTCGCTCAGCCGAAGAGGCGCTGTTGGCTGGGGGCCGTGGTTTGGCTGACGCCTGGACCAAAGGCCGTGCTGAGCAGGCTGAAGAGCTGATGCCCCTAGCGGCATCTACCGTCGAATCTGGCTCCAGTCGTGATCGTCCTACACCTTCTCTTCGGTTGCCTGCACCACCGGTGCGTGTCAGGAAGGGAGTGACCCTTTCGCAGCAGGCATTCAGCGCCGACAGTGTGAACAGGCGAGTTGAAGCCCTTGCCAAGGTGTTTGAGGACGCCGGGATCCATTGCCCTTCAGTCGGGAACCTCTCAGATGCAATCCTCGCTGAGTGGAAACTTCAACTTCTGCGATTGGCACAGGTCAAAGTGACCAAATCGGAACCTCAGACTATATAGTGAATGCTGTGCGCACGTGGGGGGAACTTGTCAGCTTTATGCGCTCCAGAGACAGGACTACGATCGAGCACCTGGATTTGGCCTCGTTCCTGGCCTCCGGATCGAAAGGACCCAAGCGTGCATTGAACTCGCTTCGCTGGTTGAATTGGGGCATTTGGGGTGGCAGTTGGATTCGATCGTGTTGGACCCACCTGCCTCCCGGCGAGCGGCAGCGCGCTCTCAGGCGCTAGTCGTCGAGCCGCCTATGCTTACCCACTTGGAGCGAGGCGTCAAAGAAGCGTTCGCTCGGCAGGACCCTCGCTGGGAAGTTGGTTGGTGGGCGTATAGGGGTACTACGCTATCGCCACATCCAGAGAGCTCAAATGGTGAGGCTGTCCCGCTCTACGCTGTACTGCCATTGCCCGCGAGGCAAGCAAGCGAGCAAACGCGACGGTTTCGATTTCTCCATTCCTTCGCAGTTCACCGATGGTTGCGGAAAGCTACCCGAGGCCCAGCGCGATGGGGGTGGCCTGTGCTTCAACCGGGAAGGTCGGGCTTGGGACATCTCGGAAGTGCAGGCGGCCTGTCGCGAGCTGTTTCAAGATTTGGTTACTGACGTGGCGGACCTGTCCACATACTCGTGGCGCAGGTTGATGCCCACTGTGGCTTTGCTGGCAAAGTACACCCCACGGTGGAGATGGTGGCATTGGCAGTCGAAGAGCGAGCTTCCTCAGGAAGCGTCCATGCCGACGCACTACGCTGGCAGTCGTGACCTAGTCAGCATGAGGCTCAAGCATTTGTCGCTGGGGCTAGCCTCCAGGCTGGGCGAGTTTGATGCCTGGGAGTTGGCTACTCCCGCCGCCATCACCGCTGCAGTGGATGCTGCGAAGCCCGAGGTGCAGCGTGCTGTGAGCCTTGACAAGCATAGCCTGTGGGACAGGCATTCTCTCGCGAACGGGCAGCAATCACCAAAGAGGCGCAGGCCAGTACCAAGCGCTCTTCCTCTGTGATGCCTCCCTCCATCAACGGCAAGGTCGTCACTCGGTTCCTGAGGAACGGCAAGGCTTTGTGCCCGGACTTCCAGATGGATGCATGCCATGTCGGCGAGGGTGCATGTGGGGAGGCCCATCTTTGCGCCATCCTCCTGCGGACTGGCCGCGCCTGCGGAGGAAAGCATCCTGCCCAATCCTGCTTGGCGAAGCGGTATTTGGTGGCCGAGGACGTCGAGAACACTCCCTTGGCGAATGTTGCAGTGCCGAGTACAGCGGTGCAGGCAGACCTCCCGGTGGCAGATGAGCCCGATGAGGCGCCACGAGCCTCCTCTCAGGAGAGCACTTCTAGTGAGGACGAATCTTCAGCCGGCCCTCGTTCTCCGAGTGCATCCCCGAGTCCGATTCCAGCCCCCAAGGCCAAGAAGCCTCGTACTGCACCTCCCCAGGAACCAGCAACCATGACCCCTCCGGCGCAACCTGTGGCCCCCAAAGCGGGCAGCAGCAGCTGATGCCAATGCCGAGTCAGGTGACATCTTTGAGATGCCCGAGCCACCGGCCGCGTTCACACCCAATGTGCACGACCAGAGGTGGGACCGCTTGGCCACCGTGCGCGGGAAGAGCGCACAGGCGCCGACCAAAGTTCTGTCCGTCCAAAGTGGCGGAACGTTGTGGCTGGGTGGATTGCCTACGATCAGGTCAGCATCAGCCTTTCCAGCCGTCACTCTTCAAGTGGCATGTATGCTTGAGGAGCCCTCGCAGCGGGGTGGCATTTAGTATACACGGCCCCGCTCGCCTTCGCTACTGCGGTTTCTACCAGGTGGGCGGTGCACGCCGGTCGAGCTAAGTTGCGCGTCCCTCGTATGCCACCGACTGAGGCTGTAGGCCGCCGCGAACACTGGCTTTACTACGATCTTCGATCAATGCGCAGCTGGGCTATATGACCCCCCTGGCGATTCAGCTGGGCCTGCGACCAGTCGACCCTCGCGAACGTGCACGAGTCCCTCGAGTGAGACGGGTATAGCTGACCTGTTGGTGGACGGGAAACTTCCTCCCAAGTGCATCTACGTGGGGCGGGGCCACCATAGCCACAAGCTACACTTGTCAAAGTGGTGCTCTCCGTATACCCCAGGACACGATTGCACCGCCTTTATATAGCTTGCTTGGACGAACGGTCTGAGCCAAAAATCTCACTGCAGCATGTGTCATTTGCAAGAAATTTTAGTTATCTTAAAAAACGTTGTTTTTGTGGGAGCCTAACTTCAACACAAGTTCACCTAACTTCCGTGTAACTTTGGCGAGCTTGCTAAGTGGAAGTTACGTTGAAGTCATCCGCATAGCGTGGAAGTTGCGGCGAAGGTATACGTTCGGCAACTTAAGTTAAACTTCAGTTTAACTTAAGTTATAACTTATAACGGCCCTCTCCGTATCTCTTTGTATCCCTGTGAATTCCCTTTTGTATCGCAAAACTGATCTGTGTGTCTATACAAAAGCGGTTTCTGTCCATACAATCTTGCGTTGAAGGGAAAAGTACTGGGCAGAACAGCCGCCAAAAGAACCAACGAATCCTGCGCAACGTGAGCGCTTATCCACCTTGTTTGTGAATAGACTTTTTTGCACAGATTTCAACAATCATCAAAAAACAAACATAAACAACACTAACTTCCGTAACTTGTTTCTAAATTGTTTCTAAGTTCTGCAAGCTTCAACTTAGCGTTTATCGAAACTATGTTTTAAATTTCACATGTTTTTGAACTTACTTATATCTGTGTTAAAACTTCCAAGGAACTTATCGAACTTACAATGGGTTATAACTAGCATATGTTATCCCCAGTTATAACCTATGTTGGTGAAGTTTTTAACTTCATCAACTTGGGGGACTCTTGGTGTAAGTATCTAACTTAGATACATCAAAGTTACATCTTGAACATAAGATAAAGGTACTTAGACTAATTTAAAGCATATGTTGCACCAGGTTAGAACATATGTTACCCTATATGTTATAACTTGGTACAACTAGAGGAGCCCTTTCTGTACTAGTAGTCGTCGTCGTCGTTGTCGTCGGCGTCCAAGGCGTCGGCGTCGTCGTCGTCCGCGGCGGCAGCGTCGGCGTCGGCGTAGTCGTAGAGTCGTAGTCGTGGTCGTTTCCGGGGTCGTCGTCGTAGTAGTAGTAGTCGTCGTAGTAGTAGTAGTAGTGGCAGTAGTGGCAGTAGTAGTAGTAGTAGTAGTAGTGGGGGTAGTAGAGGTGTTAGTAGTTGTAGTAGTGGTAGCGGTAGTAATAAGTAACTAAGTAAGTAGGTAAGTAAGGAAGCAACTGAGGAAGTAAGCAAGTAAGCGAGTACGTATGTAAGTATGCAAGTAAAATAGAGGAAAGTAGAATTAAGTCATTATGTGAGCGAGTATGTAAGTAAGGAAGTAAGTAAGTAGGTAAGTACGTATTTAAGCAAGTAAGTAAGTAGGTAATAAAGTAAAATAAATAAGTAAGGAAGTAAGTAAGTATGAAAGTAAGTAAGTATAGGTAAGTAAGTAAGTAAGTAGGTAAGTCAGTCAGTCAATCAGGGAAGGGAAGGGAAGGGAAGGGAAGGGAAGGGAAGGGAAGGGAAGGGAAG